AAGGTCCATTCCAATCCCTAAAGTTGTTTGATTCTATGATTTGAGTGTTCTAATAGTGTAATGGTTGCTGGTGACACAAAATGATTTCCTTTCTTCATGTCTGTCTTACTCTGGACGCACATGGACTTGACTAGCTTTGGCATTGCAGCCAGTAGAAAAATTTGCTACCATGGTTAGGTTTCTCACAGTGGGAAGTGTTTGAAGCCCTAGATAGTTCTGCATATATAGATAAATTCATCGCATCCTTCTCTAGATTAAACAAATCAGCATTTCTCTGCTCTTGTCCCTGTGTCTGAACTTAGCTGTGTGCTTTTAAGAAAGCAAAAATGCTAAACACTTCAAATGCTTCACACCAGGAATTCGTACATAGCTGTTAGAAATAAATAACCATGGGGCTAGGAAGATATTGCTTTTCCACTCCTGTTCCCTCTGTGATAGTGAGCTTTGTGTAGTGTAAATTCCCTTCTCTGACCATGCAGAAGCAATACATGTGAACAGTATAGTAGTTCAGAATGCTGAAGGTTCAGGTAAAACTCTTTCACCTTTAGGCTCTCTAATCTTGAAATTACCAACTAGAGGTTGCTTCTCCTATCAAATGCATCTTGCCAGGGCAAAGAGGAGATGGAGCTGGTGTGTGAGTGGAAAGCCTCAGTGATGTAGCTGAGAAAAGCCCAGGGCCAAGAGAAGGCAGCTGGACAGAAGAGGCTTTACCTTTCTTCCTTAAAGGCGTCTTAGTTTTATTACCAAAAAAGCCTCAACCCTGCTTATTTCTTGTGCACAGTATGAAAATTCTCTGTATGTACAAACAGCCAGTTCATGTAATCCAAAAGAAAAGTGCTGAGAAGGTACTTCAGCTCTCCAGCCTGTGTATAGACACTGCCACTCTGTGTTCATCTTGGCCATGTGCTTGGCACAGCTGTAATGTGCTGATGACTTTCCAGACTGAAACATTCCAAGACATTTGGTCTCTCCTGCCATGGCTGCAGGAAGAGGACTAGAGAGAGTGGCCTTGAGCTGAGCCAGGGCAGAGTCAGATTGGATGTGAGGAGAAATGTTTTCCCTGTGAGGGTGTTCAGGCACTGAGATATTTCCCAGGGAGGTGGTGGAGTCACCATCCCTGGAGTGTTGAAGAGGCATCTGGATCTGACACTGGAGGATCTGGTTTAGGGTTTGGGGGTTCCAGCAGTGACAGGTTAATGGTTGGACTGGATGATCTTAGAGGTCTCCTCTAACCTTGATGACTCTGAAGTTTCCTGAAACTTCTATGGTAGCAACAGGTGGACATGAGTATCAGTGAAAAAATAGCAAAAGGACAAACCTACAGTTGGGTTTGGAGGTGACCTTATTATCAGGAGATGCCAAGTGTGTGTGTCTACTGCAGTGTAAGAAGTTTAAATTAAGAAAACCCTCGAATTCAATGACAAACCTCATTTTTCCCCCCACACTGACACTTTGTGTACTTGCTTAGACTTCTATATAATCCTTTCCACGTCACCAAATTATGTCACAGACATCAGTGTCTCTCACCACAGTATTTACTATGTCCATCACTCTTAAACCAGAGGAACCAATTCCTTTTTCCTCCAAAAGCCAGGGGATGACTTCATCCGAACAGCTTGAGCTGTGTGTGGCTTTGCATTTAAAAAAACCCTCCCGTGTGAAATTGTATGTAGATTAAAGTTGTTATACAATTCCTTTTGGCATCTCACGTGCCTGATAGTCTAAGGGACTTCTCAAGCACCAGCAAGTGAATTAATGACCGAGAAGAAGCCTCTTCTGTGCTCCCTGCTGTGGGAAGGATGACTTTCCATCAGAAGAGGGCACTCTGACACTGACAGTTTGCCTGTCTGCCACCCGGATTAAATGGGCTGTTTTTCCTGGTGTTATGATAGCCTTGGTTTGCCTAATCTGTTCCTGTAAATGGTGTAATCCCTAAAGTAAAAGCGGCAACAAGAAATCAGACTATGCGACTCATTTGCATATGTTAGCATTCCTGTTTAAAGCCATTGCTAAGCTTTTCTTAATTAGCAGTCTTCTGGTTTAAAAATGATGCATTAATATGTATACATAGAAGAATCTCTTTGACTGTTCCATAATTAGAATTACTGGCTCTAGTGCTTAGTGTCCTATTAACCCTTAATTGTATTTCAGCTGAAAGCAGGATAACTTTGGGAGGAATCATTCATGCAGGACCCTGTAAAGTGTCTGCATCAGTGAAAGTCATGCAATGCCTCACTTACTGAGGCCAGTGCATTGCTCTAACCATGTGAAAACTGTCTCTTCCTCTCTAGGAGCACTATGAAAAGTATGATGGGTTTGTGATCCTTCATGGCACTGATACCATGGCCTATACAGCTTCAGCCTTGTCCTTCATGTGTGAGAACCTGGGGAAAACTGTTGTTCTGACAGGATCTCAGGTAAGGGGATTCATTTGAAAGTGAAGCATGAAGCCTCAGTTTTGGTTTCTATATGCAAAACTTGGTGTTATCCTGATTATGTGTGTATAAATATCCTGTCTGCAGAGGGATCTGTGTTAGGAGCTGCAGGGACAGGACAAGGGGCAATGTGTTCGAATTGAAAGAGGGAAATTTAGGTTAGATGTTAGGCAGAAGTTTTCCCTGTGAGGGTGGTGAGACACTGTCCCAGGTTGCCCAGGGAGGCTGTGGCTGCCCCAACCCTGGCAGTGTTCACAGCCAGGTTGGATGAGCCTTGAGCAACCTGCTCTGGTGGGAGGTGTCCCTGCCCAGGGCAGGGGTTGGGGCTGGGTGATCTCTAAGCTTCATTCCAACCCCTAAAATTCTATGATTCTGTGATTCTCACTGCATAGCTCAGTAGTGCAGGGCAGGGCCCTGGCCAGAATGAGTGCTCACAGGGCTGATAGAAATCAGTGAAAATTGCTGGACTCACCAGCTGAGGATCTGCCCCATAATTTTATCATGACTGACTTTACAACTCTGTACCAAATCAGAGCAGGAGTTGATTATGGCTGGGCCAGATGCTGCTGAGAAGTATATAAGAACCTGTTGTTTGCCACTGTGTATTAATCAGTTGGTATGAGAAGCATCTTTGCAGCCTCAGGTAGCTGCTGCTTCTTAGTTTTTTTTCTTTTAAAGCCCTGAAACCTACTACTTTTTAAATCATCAGTTGTTATCCCTTTTTTATGTTACCCCATTCTGTTTATCCCATTGTTGCATCCTTTATATTTTTTTTTAAAGAAACTAAGCGTTAGATTAATTTCTGACCATTTCTGTACCACAAAGCCTCTAATATGGTCTGTTTCCTTTCCTCTAAAGACTACATGTATTAATTTTCATTCTCTTAGCTGCAGATCAGCCCTTTGCATATTGTCTGAGGGGGAGGGGTTGTCTTACTAGAATAGCTTGCTTGAGCATAAAATCCAGCTCTAATCACAAAGGAGAGATGAAACATGGCACTGTAAAATTCCCCTCCCCAATCTCATAACTTCCCTTTCACATGTGGTCTATTTGAAGTCAAAATACCAAAGTCTAGGAAGGAGTAGGCTCCCACTTATGGTCTTGACGTGGGGCAGTCTAGTCGTGATACATCACAGACAAGGTTTTGCTTTCTTTTTTGCTTTATTGCTTGGAGATCTGCCTGACATATGATGTAGCAAGGGAACATATGATTCCTTTTTCTCCTTGCTGAAAGGAGCTTTGGCTCTCTGTTAATAAAGAGGCGATCTGAAAGGCATGGAAGTCATCACTCAGCAGAGCAGATTGCTGGGTTTAATCTTACCCTTTTCTCTGGGTAATAACCTGCTGGCTCAGTTTTTTCTCTGCTCTGTGGAAAGATGGTGCAAGAGAGCTGTTGTGAAGCCCAGGGGGACAGTTCTGTACGATCTGGGGCTGTTGCTTTTTCTCTGTACCATCACTTCTCCCATGTTCAGCCTCTTTACCCACGCCTGCTTTCTAGTTTTTATGTTTTTCCTGAACCAGCCTTAATAGGCTTCATCACGCTAGAATCATCACTATATTAGCTTTTAAGCACTGAAATTATCAAAGCCTGTTAAGCACAGAGGGAAATCCTGCCATCTGCTGCAGCCTAAAATAGTTTGGATGGAGAAGGAAACTTTCTTTGTCATAACTCATTGTTCCATAAATTATTCATCTATTTGTGTTGCATAAGTTAGGCTCTTTTTCGTTTTTCTGCTGTGTAGGCTTTTCATAAGGGTCAGTGTGTAATTTCAGTCTCTGCTCTTCAGGTGCCCATATATGAGCTGCAGAACGATGGCCGAGACAACCTCCTGGGGGCATTGCTGATGGCTGGGCAGTTTGTGATTCCTGAGGTCTGTTTGCCTGGGAACACCATCACAGATGCTGCACTTCTCCCTCTAGCCAGGACACATATACTCAGAATATTTGGTAGGCAGTAAGGCCTTGCACTTGAACAGGAAGATTGATGGGTTCTCCTGAGGTAACAGGCACTTGCATGGCCAGTTTGCTTTGGGTCTATCCCATTTGCACATGTTCAATCTGTAGACCATGAAGTCTGCAGTGTAGGTTGCAGCTGACATGAAATTGGAGGTTCTTTTGCAGATATATGGGAACTGAAATACTACTAAGTCAGTTTTTTAACTGAATGTTACTTTGAAGCTCTACAGTTGCTCTAGAACTGGTAGGAATGTCTTCTAGCTCTAGTTCCTGCAGACTGAGGGGTAGGGAATGATCCACCTAATGGACATGGAGGTACCTCTGTAGTCTCAGCACGCTGCCTTTAAACATATTTGGGCTCTAAAGCTCAAAGATCAGAGAAGAAATGGGTCATTTCACTTCTGCCATGCTCCCAAACCCATTTCTTTTCAGACAGCAGCAATGGTTGTCTGCCCAGGATCTTAGTAACTAGAAACAGTTTTGAGGTATCTCTTTTCCTTCAAGTCCTAACTGACAAACTTTCAGAGACTTGAGGAGGAAAGTAATTATTTGTGTGTGGTAACTCTTTGGAAAGTGGTCCTTATTTTTACCAGGCCTTTTTGGACTCTGAATTTATCCACAGCTGATTCATTGCGAAGTCCACACAGTTTCTTTCCTCCATCTCTGAAGTGGACTCAGGCAAATTTGCTGTCTCCTAGACGATGCCTCATGAGAGGATTATGAAACTAGTTAGCTCTTAACTTGTTTTGTTCTTCAGTTCTTAAACCAATGAGTGACAGATGTGCCAACCCTTTTTGAAAGGGTTAGACTTGTAAACATCCACTAACTTCTGAGTTGCTTTAAAGAGTCAGAAAACACTTTATAAAGGACAGACTACAGTATTTATCTGCTGCATCTTTTAATTACTGGCTTATTCACAGACCTGTTTCTTTACTTGTCTTGCAGGTGTGCCTGTATTTCTATAATAAACTGTACAGGGGAAATCGGGTGACTAAGGTGGATGCTGGGAGTTTCAATGCCTTTTCCTCACCTAACCTGCCTCCACTTGCAAAAGCTGAGGTTGATATTACAAGTAAGCAACATCATCTCTTAAGCTGTGTAATTTATGCCACATGCAATAGAACTGGAGCTGAAAAGGATCTGTGCCTATGTGGTTGAAATGTCGGTTTTAAACTCAAATGTCTTTGACATTTGTAGCCTGACTCCACTTCAGCTGCTCTGAAACTGTTTAAATATTAGTAAGATTGAGACTTTGTGACTCAACTGCATTTAGCTATGGAATATAGATGTAAGCTAGGCTGACTTTGACTTAAGATCCAGACTGACCAGAGGGAATGTTGCCCTTGTGTCATGGAAATGCTTGCTGCAAAGATAAAAATGAGGCAGTGAGGACTGAAAGAACAAGGAGTTTAATCTCATTAATGGCCATACTGGGCTCTGAAATCGGGCAAAAAAGTCATTGCAGAGTACTTGCAGCTTCAACAGACTCTGATGCATGTCATTATGTAAGATGTTTTACTGGGTGTTTAGGAGTGTCTGAACTGCAGGCACACTGGAAACAGCAGGCCTAGAATACACTGTGTGAAGGCATTTTCACCCCCAGACTGACTCTGGCATCCTGTAATTTCTGTGTGTCTGTTTTTTAAGGAGGGGGAAAAAAAACTATATGAAGATTTCACTACCCATTTGCAAAGTCATTAGCACATAGATGTCTGTCCTTGGATAAATGGCATCCTTTCTTTGGAGAGGGGAGGAGAGGGACACATTGGAATGTAGCCAAATGAGAAGCTGCCAAAAAAAAACATGCTAAAGGACAATTTTAAAACATACAACATGTGGCAGTGTTCACAGCCAGGTTGGCTGAGCCTTGAGCAACCTGCTCTGGTGGGAGGTGTTGGGGCTGAATGATCTCTAAGGTCCATTCCAACCCCTAAAATTCTGTGATTCTATGTGAGCTGCTTTTGGAAAGACTAGGTATTAAAAAGGAGTAGGACTTGGTGGCAATATCCGTGACTACACCAGAAGCAGGAACAGGAGGGTGTTGCTGAATTCTTTAGCTAGGTGCCATTAGTGGCAGCAGCTCTAGCCCTGTGCCATGCAGTGTGGCATCCTGAATGGTTTCTGCTGCTAGAGAGAAACATTCTGCAATCAAAATAAATTTATCCCTTCTAATGAGTGGAAGTTAAAGTTTCAGGTTCCAAGTGCTGTGTTTGTAGCAGCCAGGTACAAGCTGAGGAAGCCCATGGAACACTGGAGTTGGCTGTAAGACATATCTCATCTCTGACTGCCACTGTTGTATTCCTGTGCTGTGTCGAGTATGATGGATCTGAAATCAACAGAAATGCTGTCAGTTGATTGTTGCAGTAAATTGGGGAGAATCTTCTTTCTTGGGTCTTTATGAGCTGCATCAAATAGGGTATAAATAAATTCCGTTTACTGACTGATCAATAATGAAATCAAGCTGCAAATTGCATGCTATTTTTCTCTTGGATTTGAATGAACTGGTTTGTGATTCCTTGTCCAGAGTAGAAAACTGAGAAAATTATTAAGCACTTCCCTTGGCCCATACTGGGTCCCATTATCTTTTCAGTAAATGCCTCATTGGGATCAGTGGGGATTTCTGATTTAAAAACTGATGGTGTGATAGGCTCTATTTTTATTTGCTTCAGTTGATTACCCAGTTAGGGGTAGCATCATTTATCCAAGATGACTGTGTCAGTATTGAAGGATTGTTTCATTTTGAAAGAACATAGTTTATAGTATGGGCAATCTACTAGTGCTGTTTTTTTTTCCCCAAAGTAATTGGTTGAAACATTGCTGTCTCCCTTGAGTTTGCTTGTACAGCCCTTGTATGAAGCTTTCAGGGAGACAAGGAACCACTTGGGCTTTTAAAAACAAACCAAACAAATCTAGTATCTTTGAACTTTTCTCTTTTTCCAAATCACTTTATATAATATGTCTTAATCCTCCTGTAGACAGGGCTGACTCTTGCTGATTCAGCATTAGGGAGAGCAGCCTGAGGATGGCAGGAGGAGCAGGCCACATGCAGAAACTCTTCCTCAGGCTTCCCAGGTCTAACAAAGCTGGGAAGGAAAATTCCAGAGAAGCAGAATGGGAGAGGTGGCAGGATGCAGGGAGTGTAATGGGATGATGGGTGGGTACACAGGGATGAGGAGATGACATGCTGTTCAGGGCTGGGCATTGCATGTCAAAGCAACAGTTTACTTCAGAGCCAGAGAGGGTGAAGCTTAGTTCTCTTCCCTCCCTTACTCTAGTTGCAGCTCTCCTTTTTTTATATCCATTTTTCACCCTGTTCCCTCTTCACATGAGGCTCCCAGTGGATTTCTAATCCCACAGAAATCATAGAATCATCAGGGTTGGAGGAGAACTCTAAGATCATCAGCCATTAACCTGTCACTGCTGGAACCCCTAAACCCTAAACCAGATCCTCCAGTGCCAGATCCAGACACCTCTTAAACACTTGTAGGGATGGTGACCCCACCACCTCCCTGGGCAATATCCCGGTGCCTGAACATCCTAACAGGGAAAACATTTCTCCTCACATCCAGTCTGACTCTGCCCTGGCTCAGTTTATGGCCATGCTTATGTCCCATATCTGACTGTGTGCTTTGTCAGATCCTTAGCTGTGTTAGCCACACCTAAGAGTCCTGTTATCCAGATTTAGAGGAGCAAGTGTGTCCGTTCTTCAAGGCTTTGAACGTAGCACAAGAAATTCCTGTAAGAAATGAAAAATTCTAGCCCACTCCTGAGCTAAGAAACCCAATACCGATGGGAGATACTTTTGCAGCAGAACCAGAAATCTCCGTATGAAATTAACAATAGAGAAATAACCCTAAATATTTCTAAACTCTCAAAGCGTATCCAATAAAAGGCCTTGCCTTGTTTCTCTCATATTTTGAAACCAGGAGAGACAAGGAGGACTATTTCACTTGAAATGTGCAAAGATTCTCAGTATATTTCGTAACTGATTGCTCTCCTCTGCTCTTGATTGTCCTAATGAAGCACACATGAAACTTGCCTCATTACTGTGGCTGGACTTTCTTCATCACACATGCATGTAACTTCTGGGAGTGGTGCACATGTACAGGACTGTGTGGTGCAGGGGACAAACAGAGCCTGTGTGACTCTGCAGGCAGGTGTGGTACAGCAGCAGAAGGTTGGAAGGCCCTTTTGGACTCTTCTACCCACCAGTCTCATTAGAGAGAAGCTATTAGTCACCACTTTTGGTTGTGTCTTGGTGTCTTGGTTGGCAGTTCTGGTTATTTATGTCAAAAGCTCTGGACATTTATGCAGTCAGGCAGATGCCAACTCTGTCCACTGAAGTGCTTTTGGTCTCTGTCCCCTCTCTGCTCTAAGCAGAGACATGTTGGTTCCTGCAACACCAGGCAATTTAAAAATTCATTTCAAAGGATGTGTGTTGATTGTTTTATAACAAACTGCCAAAAAAAAGGGGGCTCTGTGCTTGTGGGCCTCCTTCAGGAGTTCACAACTGTAGGTTGCCTGTGCTCCCACCCCTTGGCTGCTACCAGGAATGGTAATGAATGCTAGGGCAGCTTATATAATGGCAGGCCTTGGCCATAGCCCTATAGAGAAGGATGAGGATTGCAATTTGCTGTTAGTCTGGAGCTCTGCAGTCAAGAAAAGCTGTATTTCTTGTTTGATTTCATAACCGGGAATTCAGTCACCACTCCTAAGGGAGGTGTCACTCTGAGTTGCTGCTCTCCCATTATAAGCTGAAACCTGCACTGTGGCATAGGCACTGCTGAACAACAGGGGGTTTGCTGCTTTCCCAGCTGTGTGGAGCTGCTTCTCTTTTTCATTTGATTTTCTGATGTTTTTTTCCACACTAACCCTATCACCATACTTGTCTGTACATGCCAGAAAATAAAGCTGCTTAAGATAAGGATGTATTTTTTTTGTCTGTCATTTTAGCGGCTATAATGTTTGGTGGGGAGAGTGAGATTGGAAATAGTAGACTATTCTTTATGTGATGGTTTGGTTTGGAAGAGTAAACAAAAGGCCTTAATATCTTATATTAAGTTATTGGAGAGCATCCAAAGGAGGCAACGAAGATAATGAAGGGCCTTGAGGGGAAGCAGGGTTTTGTTTACATTGGAGAAGAGGAGACTGAGCACAGAGCTCATGGCTGGATACAACTTCCTCAGGGAAGGAAGTGCAGGGACAGCTCTGACCTCTTCTCTCTGCAACCAGGGATAGGACCCAGGGAATGGGCTGAAGTTGTGTCAGGGGAGGGTTAGGCTGGAGATGAGCAACTGGTTCTTCTTCCCCCAGAGGTGTTTGGGCACTGAACAGCTCCCCAGGGCAGTGTCACAGCCCCAGGGCTGACAGAGCTCCAGAGGTGTTTGGCCAATGCTCTCAGGCACAGGGTGTGATTGCCAGGGATGTCTGTGCAGGGCAGGAGTTGGACTGGATGATCCTCAAGTGTCCTTTCCAACCCTGATTATTCTGTGATCTTGAATATAATCTCCTTGAATGATGCAATCTGTCCCAAGCTTAGGGTCATAGGCTGAGCCAGGGCAGAGTCAGATTGGATGTGGGGAGAAATGTTTTCCCTGTGAGGGTGTTGAGGCACTGGGATATTGCCCAGAGAGGTGGTGGAGTCACCAACCCTGGAAGTGTTTAAGAGGTGTCTGGATCTGGTGCTGGAGGATCTGGTTTAGGGGTTCCAGCAGTGACAGGTTAATAGTTGGACTCAATAATCTTACAGGTCTCCTTCAACCCTGATGACTCTGATTCTAAGCCACTTTGGACACAGAATATACAGCCATTACATCTTTATTATATGTACCTTGCTTTAAAACCTTCCTTTCTGCTGTGCCACACCAGCAGCTTCCTTGTGTTTGCTCCTCAGCTTTGCATCCATATTTACACAATGCAGTATCAGTTAAACTCTTTACAAACACAGAACATCCAAGTCAGAACAGGTTGCTGTTTTCTGTGCTGTACCAAAACTGAATATCCCTAATTAGCCACTCATCCATAGGATAAAAAACTGTTATGGACAACAATAGATATTTTTGTCCTTCAGTTGCTTGTATATAAGTTTCTTATTTAAGAAGAAACTTACTGAAGTACTTAAGAAGTTCTTAAGAATCACTTACTGAAATGATGTTTAATTATTTGTCTTTAATTTAACAAAAAAAGAGGATTTCTGTGTAGTTTGACTATAGCCTGCCAAGACAGCTGGTTGATTCAGTGTGATGAAGATGCTTGAACTTAGCTGTGTGACATAAATAGTCTTCCTTTTTGGGGATGTAATCTTTGAGATGGAGAATGCAAAGGGTGTGTTCTACTTTTTTTATTGCCCTGCATGGTGCTGTGCCACACTTGCCACAGCTCTGAATAAATCCGAGATGAAGTTGGGCTTTTATGTGTATTTGTGTCTCTTTGGCTCTTGCATCATATTTGCCTTTTGTTCTGCCCTGTAGACTCGTTTGGCTCATGGAAAACTGACATCTGTGGAGTCTGCAGCACCAAACACGTTCTGTAGGCTGGCGAGGTTCATGACCAAGGGAACGTTAACTCAAGGGCAATCTTTATCTATTTTATGTAATATAACTTGGAATTACATCACTGTACTGTCTGCATGCATTAAGTTTATCTTGGAGGTGATATATTCTTTGGTGGAGCATCCTCCAAGGGTACAGGTATAGGCCTGGTGTAGGTCTGACTTCTGAAACTATCCTCTGATCTCTTTCCTTGGTCTTCTGCTCTTGGCAGTATCTTAGCCATCCATGCCAAGGCAGGTTTCCTTGTTTCATTCTTCAAGTTGGTTCCAGGCATTAGGGATGTTAACAGTTGCCAAATGTAGTAGTATGCATTTGTGAAGTTTTGGCAGGGACTCCTACCTTATGGAGGATAACAGAAAGAAAGCTGTGAGACAATTTTATTGTCGTCCCTTATAGGGGAGGCTGCTTTATGAAGAATTAACCTGTGTGTTGGAAGGTTGAAAGGACTGGATTTATTGCTAAACGCTGCTGCTTCTTCAAGCCCAGTGCCCATGCTTGAATGTGGTTAGCCAGGCCTGTGAACCTCGTGCAGAATAAATGCACAGCCTCTGTGTTTGCCCACATACCTCCTCACAGGTCTTTGACTCGCTCTGGAAAGCTCATGGAAGCCTTTGAGAGCTACTTGGCTAACTACTGAGCCCAACCAGATGGTTTCAGAATGGTGCTGGACAGCCTAGCACAAAGAAAGAAACTGTAGAAAAGGTCTATATTCTCCCATTCCCAGGGCTTTAGGAATCCATGTGCTGAAGTGTGACTGGTTGGACAAACATGATGCCAAGCCAACTGCTTGTGACCTGTTTAATGATGTGTGGTGTGTTTTAGATAGAACAAACAGAGGCTCTAGTTGCTGAGAGGTCACCACAATAGGAAAGGAATCAGAGAATCACAGAATTTTAGGGATTGGAATGGACCTTAGAGATCATCTAGTCCCAACCCCTGCCCTGGGCAGGGACACCTCCCACCAGAGCAGGTTGCTCAAGGCTCATCCAACCTGGCTGTGAACACTGCCAGGGTTGGGGCAGCCACAGCCTCCCTGGGCAACCTGGGACAGTGTCTCACCACCAGAACAGGGAAAGCTTCTGACCAAAATGTAACCAAAATTTCCCCTCTTTCAATTTGTGCCCATTGCCCCTTGTCCTGTCCCTGCAGCTCCTAACGCAGATCCCTCTGCAGCTTCCCTGGAGCCCCTTCAGCTCCTGCAAGGTGCTCTGAAGTCTCCTTCATAGTTTGTAAAGTTTTAGAGGTGACTGCTGTTTTCTGTCCTGACTTAATGGATTTGTGTAGTTTTTTGTATCTCTGGTTATGGAACAATAGAATATGCTTCAGTGGATGTTTTTAAAAGTACTCTGATTTTGTGTTTGCAAGGGGCTGAGTGCTGATTGCAAGAAATTGCAGCAGTAATTGGTGTGAGTAACTCTCTGTGTGGCTGAGAGTGTGTCAGCGTTACGCACACAGATCTTTTATCTCTCTTGCTGCTTGGGAGTTTCTCCAAAATTTGAAAGGCTTAACTCATGGTGGGGAAACAGCAGCTTTACAGCATGGTCTGTTTTCATGGCAGCATGATGCTCTGAGCTGTTGGCTGCTCTTTGGTAAACCTGTTTCACTGCCTTGGAGGAGCTGTCAGTGCTCCCAGCGCTGAGCTCCTATACTGGAGGAGTAAAATTTTCATATCAATAATGCATGACTTGGCTTCTAATAATGCAACACAAACAAACTATTAGTTAAACAGCTGGCTTCTGGCTCTGAATGTCTAATGGGAGTTAATTGAATCCTTGCTATTTTATTTAATCGTTAGTAACTACCCAATAAACTCTGGAGGTTATTAGCAACACCAGGAGCTGTGTTTGTCATCTCTTGTGTCTGGGATGATGAAGGTCTGTTTTCTAAGCATGAATCCAGGCTGGTATCAGACCAGTTACATAACAGTGAAGTTCAGGTCAGTGTGTGGCAAGTAAATATCTCACCTGGGCTGGGCCTGCACAACGTTCTGTTGGTTTCTGAGCACTCTGAACTAGCAGAGGTGGCTCTAACAGGACGTGTGACATCCATCAGGTCCAGTGCTCAGCTGCTTTTCACAGCAATCAGAAGAAGAGGTTATAGCAGAGGTGTACAGCTTTGTGTCTGATAGATCATCCTGTTTACTAATGGTCATTGACTGAAATATCCATTTTGGAAGTCTTTGCTGTAAAGTGCTATTAAATTGAAAGTAGCATAGGTGTTAACTCCTCGGAGGGTACTAGCTTAGGAATATTGACTGGTAATACTGATATAACTCAGAATGTACACTGTTTTGGAATTAAAACTAAAATATAACACATTTGAGCCTGATCTAGATGAGGCCTTGAAGATATATTTCGCAGAATCACAGAATAATCAGAGCAGGAAGGGACCCCTGAGTCCAACTCCTGCCCTGCACAGACATCCCTAACAATCACACCCTGTGCCTGAGAGCATTGGCCAAACACCTCTGGAGCTCTGTCAGCCTTGGGGCTGTGACACTGCCCTGGGGAGCTGTTCAGTGCCCAAACACCTCTGGGGGAAGAAGAACCAGTTGCTAATCTCCAGCCTAACCCTCCCCTGACACAACTTCAGCCCATTCCCTGGGTCCTGTCCCTGGTCCCAGAGAGAAGAGGTCAGAGCTGTCCCTGCACTTCCTTCCCTGAGGAAGTTGTATCCAGCCATGAGCTCTGTGCTCAGTCTCCTCTTCTCCAGCTGAACAGCCCAAGTGCCTCAGCCACTCCTCATGTGGCTTCCCCTCAAGGTCCTTCACCACCTTCATTGCCTCCTTTGGACACTCTCTAATAACTCAATATCTTTCTGACGTTGTGGCACCCCAAATTGCTCACAGTATTCCAGGGGAGGCTGCCCCAGCAGAGAGCAGAGCAGGACAATCCCCTCCCTCTCCCTCTGGCCATGCCTTGCCTGATGCCCCAGGACACGATGTCCCTCCTGGCTGCCAGGGCACACTGGGACTCATATTCAACTTGCCATGGACAAGTACTCCCAAGTCTCTTTCCAGCACTACTTTCCAGCCTCTCATTCCCCAGTCTGTAGGTGCAGCCAGGGCTGCCTGTCCCAGGTGCAGAATGAAGCACTTGCCCTTGTTAAACTTCACATTTTGTGGCCCCTAATAAGTAAGGTGTGTTAGATCAGCTGCTGTGGCTGCTGTCTGAAATAGACCTTCCTTTCCTACTTTCCCAAACACATTGTCTTTCATGAATCCCCTGCATAAGAACAGTTCTAAAACCAAAGTTGTAAGTGTGAAGTACTACAAGTGTTCTTAATAGTCTGTCTTAATATTGGATTGAAAAGGCCATTTCCCTTAACAGTCAACTGGGAAACAGTGTGGAGAGCCAATACCAAAAAGAAATTCCGAGTTCACACCCACATGAACAGGAACGTTGGACTTCTGCGACTCTTCCCAGGAATCACTGCTGCTGCTGTAAGTGTCTCACTTCCTTTTGGAAGTGGGTTAAGTGATGCTCAAACTCTTGATTAGTTACCTGAAGTAGGAAAGCTGCATTGTGCCTAGCAGTGATTGGGGTTTGGGAGGTGAAGGGAAACGATCTGTCTCCTTCTGATACACCTTTTTGTTTTGGAATATCAGGGCACTCCAAGTCTATTTTCATATGCCATAAATTATTGATAAAAGCTTTTCAAATACCTTTTGTATAAACTGCCTGGGCTCTAAGACTTCAAATTAATTTCGTATCAGGGCTCATAATTAGGTCAAGTGCTTTTCTAGGCAGGTGCAGCCTACAATGACCAGGGAAATGCTCTCTTGCTGCATACTGAGGCATATTAATAGGTATCTTGTCAAAGAATACACAATATGGTGAGTAGAGGGTGATTATTTCAACCTTCTTTATCAAGGTTCATTTTGTCTCACACTGGTTATGACCCTCACCATTCATACAGAGCTGAAAAGGAGAAGTGGGATTTTTGTGCCTTCAGAAATGATTTTGCAGACTGTGATTTTAGGTAGATCTGTCTTTAAATTTTTGTCTAATATTCGTCCCATTAAACTGACAGGTCTTTTGTGGCTGTTGCCATCTCGAATTGAATTCAGTAGTTTAAGCAGCACTCCCCAATTATATCACCATTCTTTTGAGGTGAATATGAACAGATGGAAAGACAGAGGGGTGGTATATTTGCAATAAAACTCCAACTGCATAGTTAGCCTCGTGGGGCTTTGCAGTGTATTGCATTTAGCATATGTGATCAGCAAGAAGACATCTAGGTTGTTCAAAATGCATCTCTCTAGGAAGAGGACTTTGCTAGGCATTCTCTACAGTGAGGCACAATAGCTACCTCAGTGTCAACTAGCCCAGAATATATTAGTGACTCTTTTTTTGTGTGTGTTTTTGTCTCCTTGAGTTAAATCAATTGGGTTTGGGGTTAAAAAGCTCCAGGCTTCATTAGAATGTTCTTTCCTGCAAGGTCTCTCTCTTTCTCTCTCTTTCTCTCTCTCTCTCTTCTTTGCTAAAGCAAAAAACTTCTGGGCAGGGGTAGTGAGTTCCTCTGTTGAGTACTAATCTCAATTAGTAATTCTACATTTATTTCTTAGGTGTAAATCTCCCTTTTTATTCTGCCAAGCAGTGTGTGACAGTACAACCTGTTAATGGCACTGGAACAATAGCATCCGTTTTCATGCTCAGGAAGTGACTGTAGAGAGTGGCTTATTTTCAAATCTATCCCTGTAGGAATTCTCAAGGGAAATTCTCATTTTTCTTCTCAGCTTATTTCACAGTTCCCAGTTATTGCACGTGGGCAGCACAGAAGGGCATGAGAAGACTGTAACAAGAATAGTCCATTTTTAAACACACTGCGCCCTACACAGAAATTTTAACGTGACTTTTGGACATCCCTTTTGTCTCTCTTCCCTCTCTTATTTTTCAACAGGTCAAAGCATTTCTTCAGCCTCCAATTGAGGGCATTGTACTCGAAACTTATGGAAGTGGCAATGCCCCAAACGAGAGAGAAGACTTGCTGGAAGAACTGAAGAAAGCAGCTGAACGCAAAGTAGTGATTCTGAACTGTACCCAGTGCTTACGTGGGTCTGTTAAAACTGTCTATGCCACAGGGCAGGTGAGGCTTGTGCAATGATTTCACACTCCTCTGCTGTGCAAAAGAAGCAGCCTGCTGATACAACTTGATTGTAAGCTAGTAGTCCCAGATGTATCAGCTGTAAAGTGTTGCTCATAAAATAACTACAGCTGAGAAATCTTAAGCCAGAAGCTTTTAGATGTGTATCTACAAACAAGATCCCGTTACTCCTAGTCCAAATGGCCAAAACAGTCAGCTCAAATCCCAAATTAGTGATTGCTCACTCCTGTCACGTGCAGCACTCCAGGATACTTGGCATTGGATTGGTAGTATATGTCTCGCAGGGATTCCACTGAGCTAAAAGCTTAGGGATCAGACAGTCAAATAAAGCAGTATTTGATAGGATAACAGTTCAGTGTAGGAGCTTCAAGAAAGCAATATTCCAAATCCCAGTTCTTTATTTGACTGGAAGTACAACTGAATTTAGTGAGAGATTGGAGAACATTGTTCTCCAAGGTTGGTTGTTGAGGTGACATGAAGAATACAATCAACATCCTTCAAACCGTATGCTAGAGAGATGTTATACTCTGCGCTACACATACCCCAGCTCTGAGCATCTCCCTGAGGTTTGGCATCCCCAGTAGGGTGATTAGACACTGGAATGTGCTGCCAGGGGAGGTGGTGGAGTCACCATCCCTGGAGGTGTTGAAGGAGAGACTGGACGTGGCACTTAATGTTTAGTTGACAAGGTGGTGATAGGTCACAGGTTGGACTCTTATCTCAGCGGTCTTTTCCAGCCCTCATGATTCTCTGAACAGGATGTAAGGAAGCATGTCTTGAAGAAAGGGAATCAGTTTAGTTTAAGCCATGAAGGCTAACTTAAAGCAGACTTTGTGCACATACTGTTAGTGTTCAGGGCATTTTATGGCAAGTTTCTCCATGGTGTGTAGAACACGACCTCACTGGGACTAATAAGAGCTCAAAGCCATAGAAGAATATGTGCTGCATGTGGTGGTGTGAAGGAAGCTGGTTTAACTGGCCTGTAGAAAAAGGCCAACCATTAAACAGCCAAGAAACACTACCAGAGGGTGACTCATCCCCCTGGTTTAGACAACTGGTTTTGTTGGGAGCACCCACCCATCTGGCATAGCCAGGCTCTTCATTCACCCTAAATACTCCAGTCTGGTGCTGAAACTTGTCTGTTTTAACTGGTTGTGACTCAGCTTTAGACTGTACTTTCACAGTCTGCTTTGAGGAGAAAGAAAAGGAGATTGTAAGAGTTTCTTTCCACCTCTTCAGTATCCAAACTTGGTGTTTTCTGATATGGGCAGTTATTTGGGTGTTGGTAAAGCTTTCGCATAACTTAATGGAGATGTTTGGAGAAGTATTAACTTGTGCAAAGATCCTGTTCTACGTAGGAATATGTGGATTATCTAAAACAGTTCACACAGAAGGAAGAAAGAAGTCAATAAAAGGCACCAAATTTGTATTTGCAAAACAACATGAAAATGAAGCCTAACTAATCTAAATATGATCTTCTGCTTGAAATGAACTGCTGAAATGCATGGAAGGAAGAAAAAACCCTTTTCTATGCTCTGGCTAAAAGATTCTCCAAGTAGACACCTCTAAAATGGCTTTTTGCACTCTGATCCAGACTTGATATGCTGAATTGAAAGATTCTGCTCAGGTTTACTGAACCACTGTAAGGTTGTGTGGAAATATGTTCCTCTCTGAACTCAGGGACTGAAGGTATAGGAAGGAAGCTGGGAAATCCCTTCCTCCTCCTCTTTCTCAAACCTGCTGCAAAAACCCTAACTGTTCTTCGGTTAGCTCTGCAGTGCAGAAAGTATTTCTCACCTTCTCTGTGTATGTTTTCCCATGGGACTTTAAAAAAGTGTTAGTCTGAGTCACTTGGAGATGGTGAATGAGCTAATTAAGGCTCTATCTAAAAATATTAGTTAAGCCACAACAGGTTTCCAAGCTGAAGTTTATATACAAGGTATTTAAAAGTAAAATGCAGTGTAAAGAACCTAGTGCAGGATGCTTGGCTGTGAGGCAGCACATTATGGCAAAGAGGATGATATGTGGTGCAGTTTACAGGCAAAAGATCTGCAGTCTGCTTTGTTTTTTGCTGTCTTGCTCACTGTACCCTTATGAGGCTTGCTGACCATAGCAAATATCCTTCTTTTTGCCTCTCTGTTCAGATCGTTTATTTCTTTTCACTCCCAGAAATATAAGTTTAAAAAGGTCATCTCTTTTCAGTTGTTCTTGTCAGAACTGTGTAAATTATTTTAGTTGCATCTTCTAAATCACACACTGCTAGCACAGGCTGAAAGGATCTGAAAGCACTCCTGCTGTGAGCACACTGTAGTGCTGGAACTCATCCAAAGCAGTGCCCCAGAAAAGAATGGGAAATATGTCTGTGTGAGAACAGCCTACTTGGCAGTGCTCAAAATGCCACCGGGTTAAAACAGAGGAACTGCAGCTTTGCAATAAAGGGAGTCTGACAGCCCTGCAGATAGCTGATACAGACCTGTAGCCTTTCCCTCATAGAATCAGAGTCAACCTGGTTGGATGAGACCTCAAAGAGTCCAACCCTACCGTGGTCACTAGACCATGGCACTAAGTGCCACATCCAGTCTCAGCTTGAAAACCTCCAGGGATGGTGAATCCACCACCTCCCTGGGCAGCACATTCCAATGCCTGAGCGCTCTTTCTGTAAGAAATCTCTTCCTAATATCCAACCTAACCCTCCCCTGGCAGAGCTTGAGTCTGTGCCCTCTTGTCCTGCTGCTGGTTGCCTGGGAGAAGAGACCAACCCCCACCTGACTCCAGCCTCCTGTCAGGGAGTTGCAGAGGGTGATAAGGTCTCCCCTGAGCCTCCTCTTCTCCAGGCTGAACCCCCCCAGCTCCCTCAGCCTCTGCTCATGGCACTTGTGCTCCAGTCCCTTCACCAGCCTCGTTGCTCTTCTCTGGACCTGCTCCAGCCCCTCAATGTCCCTCCTGAGCTGAGTGGCCCAGAACTGAGCACAGGATTCAAGGTGTGGTCTCACCATCTCTGAGTTCAGGGGCAGAATCACCTCCCTGGTCCTGTTCACCACACTGTTCCTGATCCAGCCCAGGATGCCATTGACCTGCATAGTGAGTGACCATGGCAGGCACTGGCTGGAATCCTTCAGTGTTTCTGCTTGAGAAGGGATTTAAAGTCATTTCATTCAGCTGGCTCTAGTGTTGGCTTGGTGTTTGATAACTGAAGTGACAGAGATGACCGTGGCAGTAGGAGGAGCAAGAGAGTGGAGGCTCAGCTGCAGGTTGTATTCTGTGGAGCTGCTTGTCTGTGATACACATTTTCTGTACACACAGGTATTTCTGAGTGCTGTGCTAATTGCAATCGTTCTTCCTTTTCATTCAGACTCTTGCTGATGTTGGAGTCATTCCTGGAGGTGATATGACACCAGAGGCAGCCCTAACTAAACTGTCATACACGCTCAGCAAGAGAAACCTTAGCTGGGAGGAGAAGAGGCAGGTAAATATTTCAGTGTGACCTTGAAAGGCTTTAAGTTTCTCATCTCCTGTGCTAACTTCTGCTTAGTTTCATGCCTTGAGCTTCTCTCTTGCATTTAAAAGCACTTGGTTCCAGAGGCTCAATGAGAACACTGTGGGGGTTTTTTCCTTACAGAAAATACTGTTAGGCAAATGAATGTATGTAGACTGGGAGACAAAAGAGTTCTCAAAGTCAGGTGAAGACCATGAGAGAGCCATAAAATTGCCATCTTTGAATCGTAGTAGTCTACCTTGGGCATTTCTGGAATTCATATGGGAGACAGAATCCCAGCCCTACTGAAGTCAGCAAAGATCTTGCCACTGATCTTAGTGTGGTAAAGATTTCATGCCAGACTCATTCACACAAAGCTAATTCTGAACATAAGTATTGCTTACAGCCTCTTCCTTTACAGCATTACTCATGGCAGTGTTAGGTTTTGTTTCTCTAAGAGGAGATGCACTTCATAATACACCCTTGAGCAACCTGCTCTGGTGGGAGATGTCCCTGCCCAGGGCAGGGGGTTGGGACTAGATGATCTATAAGAACCATTCCAGCCCCTAAAATTCTATGATACATAAAAAATAGAGGATTATTCTAAGACCCAGTTGTAACTGATTTAAAAATCAGATCCATTTTAACAATGTTCTTACTATTCATTGGTACTTAATCAAGGCTTTTTTCCCTGCAAATTATATAGCTCTATGTCATGTTCCTTTTATGCAAGGAAGATATAGCTGTGAATTAGATAAGGATAAAGCTGTCTGCAGGATTGCATGAGTTTCTGTGCAGTGAAATCATAATCCTGACCCTTTGGTAGATGACATCATGCTGAGTCACTCTCCAGACTTAACTCTGCATGCACATGGGTATCTCATGCTGGTGTTTTGTTTTCATTAGAACTGAAACAAATCTGATCCTTGTGTCATGCTCCATATCTTCCACCAGTAGCAGCTCTTGAGACAAACATACTTGGCTACCTGTGATCCTGAGTGTGGTGGCTGGAAGTGCCACTTACTCAGGGACAGGCTCAGGCTCTGAGCTCTGAGCTGGTTGCTAAAGCCCTGGCTGTGAGGAACAGGAGGAGCTCTGTGTTCCTTCGGTGAGGCTGTCAGGAACATGCTCCGTGCAAGAACATGCTTGGCAGGCGACACAGAGCTGTGAACAACAGCTCTATTGCATGTGCTTGTGCATATACCCTCTAAGAAACTCCAGCTCTTCACTGATGCCCCTTTGGCACACTCACTGGCCCTGGAACATACATGCACTAGCCTGTTTTTTTAAATGCAGATTTTAATCTTGCACAGAGGCTTATTTGACCTGGGACAGGAGGAACCTTCCCAGCTGGCTTCCTGCCTAGGTGTGTGAGTTAAAACTTCAGTTGAGATGCAGTTTGCCGAGGTGTGATAACTGACTTAGAGGAGGATGTGATGAAGAGATGTTTTAGGTTCCCCTGGATCTTCATGGGCTGCCCATAGGAATGTGCTGCACAGTTTTCATGTGGTGATGCTGGACCTCCTTTACATGGTTTGAAAAACAAAATGACTTTTGCAGTTTCTTTGAGCTATGCAGGATCAGTTTCCTCATTGGACTCGTTGTACAGAGCCACAAACAATTGTGTTGGCACAACCAAGGGAGCAGCATGTTGCGTTGCCTGGGCAGGAACGAGTGGTAGAGACCAGGAGAAGAAGAAAGCCTGGAAATATGTTTTCTGTGGCAATATCTTCAGCTAAACATATCAGCAAACAATAGTCTCCCAAGAGACGGAAGCTCTCCTGAAGCTGGCGTGGCTATTTTAGGCTTCTCTTTCAACATGAAGGAGCAAGGAATGTGCCCCCAGACACATACAAATGACTGAAGAGCTGGTAGGACTGAGTAAGGCACGTTGGGCTCTGCACTGGGTGCATTTAGCACAGGTGCCAATTGCTAAGGTTACCTGTGCAAAGCAATGATCTCAACCTGTCAGATTCTAGAATTGTGCCAAAGCAGTTGGTATCCTCAGAGTTACAGGTATATGGGACTCTTCCAGCAGACAGCCATGGTGTTGTCAGCTCTTGGAGCGTTTTTTTTAATAAAAGGCATGCCTAGACAGAAGTAAACCTGGGGCATTCCTCCTTCCAGCATCACATCTGTTCCTTGCAAACTTTCTCAATCCTGCCTTTTAAAATTCTAATTGAATAACTATGTGCTGTATAGCTGCATCAGCAACCTCTCGTGAAAGAGTGCCAGCATGTAAAACTGGCAGAATGGAGGAAACCAGTTGCTTTTTCTTCATGACTGCCTTCTATCTGTGCTCTCCAGGCTCCTCAGCATCTTTCTTTTGGAGTATTTTCATGTCTTTATTGCCCTATTCAAGTACTTTGTACACGTGAATTCCCTGACACTTTTTTCACTTTGATTTCCGTTATTTTTTCCCAGTTCTATTGGATGCATCCATCCTGCAAACTGTTACATGCCTGTTTGGAGACTCAGTGACTAGTATTGCTGTAGACCCTCTGGATCTGTGGCCAAGTTTTAAGCAAATCAGGGCTAACAAAGCTGTTTGGAAATGCATTGAAGTGCATGAGTGTCCACAGGTAGCACTAGGCTTTGTTTGAGACCTGTGTGCACTGTGTGTGTAGGAGTCCTGAGGTCTGTGAGTGCTGGCAAAAGGCAGCAAATCTTCTGGTCTTCAGCCTGGCTCTGATCATTACTCACTATCTTTGTGTTTTTAAGTGTTTTTAAACTTATCCCACCAGGGAACTTTTGTCTGCATGCTCGAAAAATTGGGGTGCTTTGTTATGTGCTTATTTTGGTTTCTTTGCTTTGGAAGAAAGTTTTGTTTGCTTGTCTCTCTTCCCCCCTTTGTCTTTTTAAACATGCAATCTTCATGGGCCAGTAACTATTTCTTTAATCTTTTGTCTGCGTTCAATTAGTTTCCATAATTCCTCCAAACAATTTTCCAACTTGATCCTAAGGGTTTTTTTTATGAGGCTACTCCAATATTTTCCCTCTACTAACAAAGGGTTTGATTGCTTTTCAGATGCTGAGTGAGAACCTAAGAGGAGAAATGACTGTTGTACCCACAGAAGCCAAGATTTCTCTGAGAGATAGCAAGTTTATTCAAGTGATTGCCAAATCTCTAAGTATCAGCAGCAAGGAGGTATATACTTACATGTGTAGAATTAATATCATGTAAACTCAGTGAAATGAACCCAGCTGAAACAAAAATTGAATACTGGAGCTTTTGTATTCTTCTTTTTGAGTACTAAGTGTCCCAGCTAACCAGCTGGGTTAGGGAGAAAGGACACAATGACAAGCATAACACTGAAATGGTTTTAATTAAAAGCATATTAACTTTTTTTTTTACCCTCTTTGTAGCCCCATTTTGGGTTTCTTTTCTTGGCTGGCTGGTTGCAGTAACAAGCCTCAGACAGATGCTGTAATTCAGAGTATCAATGATATGAAGAAGTGCTTTGTATTTTTGTGGTCAAATGTATTGACAGTTTGGAGCAATCCAAATACTCAGGGGTAAAACAGCTTAATTGTACATGCACTCACAGAAAGCTGAGGCTAAGGAAACACTGCACAAGTGCAGTTTGTGGTGTTTAGTGTTAGCCCCTCCTGATGGAAAATTAGAAAATACAGTATTGGCTGTACAAATATTTGCTTTTCTCTTGACTTGGTCTCAGGGAAGATTTTTGTTGTTACTGTTATTTTTATTAATGGACACTGAATCTATGGTGGTCTTTAGTAAGGGGAATGGGAGGATGTCCAGGGGGGCTAGGAAGCTTGAAAGTACAGGTTGCACAAGTGTCTGAGGACTCACATGAAGAAAGCTGATCCAGTCTTGAGGACATTGGACTATATGATCTTCTCCACCTCCCACCAGCACTGCTTCTCTTACTGCACTGATGTGTGGCTGTGGCAGTGGAGAGATGGCAATTAGTGTGTGCATCTTGAATGGTATATGCAGAAACCAGGTAACTGTAACATTGCCAGAGTGGAATATAAATCTTTGGGCTGTGAGACCAACATAATGCAAAATAAACACAAAACTTCATTCCTTCCAAGAACTAAATACTACCATTTTTAAACACCCAAATGACTCGTTTGGAAGGTTTACATTAAAGCAGGGACAGTGTTTTTATGACTTGGATATGTCACATTAGAGGTGAGGCTGATACTGAATGTTTCATTTTATTTATTTCTCAGGAGTTAGAATCAGTAAGAGATGCATTAATTCCACCTTTGGCTTGTGCAGCAGCTAAACTGGGAGACATAGATGCACTCAGAGCCATAACAGAAATGGTAATGTAAAATGAACACTTTTGTACAATACATTAATTTTTCAACAGAGATGTAAAAAGCAACTACCAAAGTCTTACAATCAAGGTGCTTTGACTAATACAATTGGTTTCTAGCCTTCTCAGTCTTTGCCCTTCAAAACTGGTATGTTCTTTCCCCTATCTGGTTTTCAGCTGTTTAATTTTTCTTTTGAACTGTGTAAATACAGGTAGATTAAAATGCAAATTCTTATCTACTAACTTTGGAACCCTTTAAAATGGTTTGTGCTGCTTTCCTTCTCTGAACTTTATGCATATTCACAGCATCCAGCTTTTAGATGCAAATCTGCCACGATGGAAAAAAAAAAAGAACTTGAAAATTATATTTAAGCAAAACACAGTGCAGTGCTAATTCAGGATTTCTGGCTCTCCCCATAGCTCTAACTTGAGCTCTGACATTTCTCTGTAATCTCTTTCGTTTTCCCTCTTTACCTTGGTTTACCCTACTCTTGAGACTTTGGTAATGGGTCTTGAGAAATGATAAATATATCTCAAAAGTAACAAGAAACAAGACAAGTAAAATTAGCAGTCTGTAGACACAAAGCTGTGTATGGAGTGCTGTAATCAGGAGCATATCTGAGGGGGAGGAAGGTGGAATAAATCACAGACTAATCAGAGTTGGAAGGGACCCTTGAGGATCATCCAGTCCAACTCCTGCCCTGCACAGACATCCCTGACAATCACACCCTGTGCCTGAGAGCATTGGCAAACACCTCTGGAGCTCTGTCAGCCTTGGGGCTGTGACACTGCCCTGGGGAGCTGTTCAGTGCCCAAACACCTCTGGGGGAAGAAGAACCAGTTGCTCATCTCCAGCCTAAGCCTCCCCTGACACAACTCCAGCCCATTCCCTGGGTCCTGTCCCTGGTTGTCAGAGAGAAGAGGTCAGAGCTGTCCCTGCACTTCCTTCCCTGAGGAAGTTGTATCCAGCCATGAGCTCTGTGCTCAGTCTCCTCTTCTCCAGCTGAACAGCCCAAGTGACCTCAGCCAGTCCTGAATAGCTTTATTGGTGCTAAAACAATGCTACAAGATAAACTCTGAGTAAACTCTGGGCTAAACTGTGGACTAGAAGGAATGTCCATAAACTGAGACAGAGGAGAGTCAGATTAGGTGTTAGGAAAAGTGTTTTCCCTGTGAGGGTGTTGAGGCACTGGGATATTGCCCAGAGAGGTGGTGGAGTCACCACCCCTGGAAGTGTTGAAGAGGCATCTGGATCTGATTCTGGATGATATGGTTTAGGGTTTAGGGGTTCCAGCAGTGACAGGTTAATGGTTGGACTCGATGGTCTTAGGGGTCTCCTCCAACCTTGATGGTTCTATGCTCCTAAGTTTGACAAGCTTAACATTTATTTTGCTGGCAGAGTTAAAATGTGCTATCTGCATCTACTGTGTGATGCAGGCAACAGCTTAATGTGCAGCTCTTGTCTTCTTAGCATGCCAAGGATATGTTGTTTCGTAGGGTGGAAACTTGAGCTGTGAAGACTATGATGGCCGAACCCCACTCCATATTGCAGCCTCTGAAGGGCATTTGCAATTAGTTGAGTATCTGTTGACGTCTGGAGCGACTGTTTATGCTAGAGACAGATATGGATCAACCCCACTGATGAATGCGATCAAGTTCAGGTAACAATTTATGTTCCACTCTATGTAAACTTTATAAACCTCCTCTCGTTTTGGATTTCGAGTCCTGCCCTGTGTTTTGGTCTTGTTTTCTCTCAGCAGTCAGGTGTAAATGTTGGGAGTTAAAATAACACATATCAGCTTTGTTTCGAAGGATGTGACCAGCCTAAATGAATGATTTTTTAAAAGATTATGAAATGAAAGCAAACAACTTGGTGTGCATATGCAGAATTTTAGCATAAGGCAACTTGTTACTGTCCTCCTGCCAAGACTTTGTCCATAATTTCAGGGCTCCACTCTTTATTCTGAGGCTTCCTTATAAAACAGAGCCAAAGTGATCACTCCTTTTGACTGGCAGAAGTGCAGGACCATGAGCTGTCTGGTTTCTTTCTGCCCTTCCCTTTCTCATCAAGACCAGACTGTTTCAATTGGCAGAAAATATACCGGTAGGTTAACATGTTTTAATCTTTCCTTTCCACCAGTGCTTCCCTGAGTCTCTTGCTGGGTGACTGGTTTTGATTTTTCCCTTCCACCCACTCGTAATTAGATGGGATGGTTGCATGGCTCTGCCTGCTCTGTGGATTTCCTCTTCCTTCTGAATGTCAGCACTTCTTGAATGGTAGTCAAGGACTTGCCATTTACTGGTCTCTTCCATGCTGTGTAGTCCTAAGGAGTGGCCACAGCACAGAAAAGAAAAGCTATCAGTAATCAACATTTAATTTCAAAGGACTTTGTGTAGCCTGGGGATTCACAGAGCCATTGGTCTTCCAACGTGTTGGAAGCTGCATGCCATAATCTCTCCTTGTTTCTTTGATCCACTTTCAGCTCCTTATCTCATATTCAGTCTGTATTGTGGAAGGAGAGAAGTCATTTTTTTTTCTGTAAACCAGCCTGGTGTGATAGAATTTTCATGGTCTTCAGGGTTGTGTGTCCCCAGATATTCCCACAGCTTTCTAGAGTCGACAGGTTCACCTGGTCTGTCAGACTGCAGTTAGCTCCCTGGGAGGTCTGACAATCCTGGATTACTGTTGGCTGCAGGAATGACTTGAAGGCTTCTCCTGTCTCAAGAGCAGATGTAGAAAACTCCACAAACTCTATTAACATGAGACTCCAAGTCCTGCATGGCCACACTGTGCTATAGCCATACCTACTCATGGTCCCTCTTGGCTTTGTACTTGTTGCTTCGCCTCATGAATATAAGACCTTCAGTGGCAAACCCTGTAAGTCTTAAAGCAAAAACAAGCCCAACAGCAAATCAAACAAATAACCTTGCAGTTGAATAGAGGTGGCTCAGGTCCAATGTGAGAAAATGCTAAAGCATTAGATACTATTAGATGTTCCTGCAAATCAGGCACCTACTTTTTTTTACCGCACCCATCTACCGCCCGAGGAATTTCACATGAGCTTGTTGTTTGGATTCCTTAGCATTGCCACTCCTATATGAGACTCCTACTATGACTCTTAAGCTCTTTAAAATTGCACACCCATTTCAATGTAGGGAATTGCAAAAGGAAACAGCACCACAACCATTTTCAGTTTCTCTTTTTGTTTCTGCTTCTGCTGGAGTGAGAGGAAGGCTTGACTTAGAACTAATCTCGTACGTGTGTGTTTATGATCTGCTGTGTGCTCCCACTGCATTTCACACTGGTGAGCATATAAAGCAGAAGGCTAAAGCTGTCTGTGTGTGTAATTAAATGCCCACTGAAAAGATTTCTGCTGCAGAAATATTCAGAGTCTATTAAACAGTTGCAAGCTGAAAGTAAAGAGATTATCCTGATGCAGCGCACAAAGTGACAGAGAGGGAAGGGGAAGAACTGACATTAATGAGTAGTCAATGCTTTAAACTGTTTAATATTGTAACTTTCTCAGTTTTACTGAATATTGCATCAGCTTAATCCCATTTTCTGAGAATTAATATTTGTTTAATTGGCATTTAACTGCACTGCAGTATCCACTCATCTTAAAAACAGCTTTCTTCCAGTCTTTTACGCCACATTTGTCAGTGGATTGCCTTCTAACCAGCATGCAAACCTATCTAATGATGATTGATTTCTCTTTTCCATTTCATAATCTGCAAAGATGATCAGGAGTTATGTCTCTTCTTAAAAGCTTCTTAACACAGCACTGTCAGCTGATAGACCAGTGAGTTGATCTATATCAATGATAGTCTCTTAAATTTTTTGACTTTAAGTGACTCTTTCTTTGTTTCTTCCTAAATAAACTACTGCATTTCCTCCCTTTCACCAGTAACTCTGCAATTTGCCTGTAGTCTCATTCATTTCGTGCATGAAGCTGAGCAGACCACTGTTAATTTAGGCCAATTCCTTGACATATCAAAATAAGTAGCATTCCTTTAATTTCTTACTGCAGCCTCAAGGGATAATTCATTTTAAAAACAATAGAATAATATTTTTTTAATAACAGAAACTAAGCAGGAAAATGTCTTGAATAAAAATGGTGTATATTTTACGTAGTAAAAGCACATCCATTTACTTGTAGAGCAGTGGTAAAAGGTTGAAAACGGGGAGCTGCTCATACAGTGCTGTGAGAACATCAGATTAGAGGCAGTAAAATCACCTCCTACATAAATATGAATTTAAATACTTGATATTTTGCAAGGTTGCATTTACATTTCTTCAGGAAATCTAAGGCAGAGTGAAAATGTAACCACCACTGGCTCCAGCAGAGCACTGAAGCCTGTCCATACAGTGTGTAAGCATAAAATTCCCCCTCATACCATGCAGAAAAACAGAGCAAGTGAAACTAAGCTGATCCTGCCATAACCATTCTGGTTGCTAGGGGAGCAAGCAGGAAAAAGAATGAAGCCAGTCAAGTTTGGATATACATTACACCTGCATTTCTCTAAAGAGAGTTGGTGGAAGGTGTGCACCCTAAGGCCCCAGTGCTGCAAACTCTTACATGTGTGTTAATTTCACATGTGATTCATCTCTTTTGAAGTTGATTCACTTTTAGTAAGTGTCTGCCAAGTCAAGGCCTGAGATGGTACATGCACTGTATAGCACCTTGACTGCTGTGAATCCAGAGACCTTGTGAACTGGTAAAGAGTTTGTCAAGAGCAGTGTGGCAGCAGGACTAGGGCAGTGTCATCCCCCTGCACTGGGCACTGGGGAGGTCCCAGCTCAGTGCTGTGCTCAGCTTTGGGCACTCACTGCCCAAAGGCCATTGAGGCACTGGAGCGAGTCCAGCCAAGGGCAACGAGGGCAGCAAAGGGCTAGAGCACATGGGCAAGGGCTGAGGGAGTTGGGTTTGTTCAGCCTGGAGAAGAGGCTCAGGGGTGACCTCATGGCTCTCTGCAACTCCTGCCAGGGCTGGAGAGAGGTGGGGGATGTGTGTCCTGCCAGGGCTGCAGGGAGAGGACTAGAGGGAATGGCCTTGAGCTGAGCCAGGGCAGAGTCAGATTGGATGTGAGGAGAAATGTTTTCCCTGTGAGGGTGTTGAGGCACTGGGATATTGCCCAGGGAGGTGGTGGAGTCACCATCTGTGGGAGTGTTTCAGAGATGTCTGGATGTGGCTCTGGAGGATCTGGTTTAGGGTTTAGGGGTTCCAGCAGTGACAGGTTAATGGTTGGACTCAATAATCTTAGAGGTCTTCTCCAACCCTGATAGTTCTATGATTCTATGAGTTCAGATGCCTTTATGTGAAACTCAAACTTTGCTCATAGCACTCAGTTCTGAAGACTGCACCAAATCATTTCTTTTACAATGAATCTGTTAAAATATTAATATTCCTTGCGGTTCTTAGCTCCAGTGTTATCAGTAATGGAATCTAGAAGGCAAAAGACACTAGAAACACCTTTTCTCTATTTGTTTTTCCTTCAGAGAGGGATGAATGACAGTGGTACTGTGAAAAGGCTAACTCAGGTAACACGTGCAGAATAGGGTTGTTCCTATAGCTTGTGTCTGACCAAACCCCCTGGAGAAAAGGGAGACTCAGGAACAGCTCACAGGTGGCAATTCTTATCAGGTGGGGCTAGACTGGACATGCATCTTTGCACCCCAGGCTGACAAGGTGATGCTGGCCTTCCCTCTACACCTTGAATCTCGTTGTCCAGCACTTGCTCTGCTCTTGGTTTTGTGCTGTCACCTTAGAACAGGAATTGCATTTGAACTGTCCCTAAAACGTTCATGGCTCATGACATCAGCTGAACTGATCAGCTGAGCTGTGACCCTTGTGAGGCTTTTGTAAAGCCACAGGAGAGCAGCACTTAAAGAAACAATTTCTAAAGACAAATAGCTCTCATGTGCTAAGACATAACAGCATCAGAAAATTCACAGCCAGCCTCTTGAAATAGGAATAATGCCCATGTGGTAGGTACAAGGCTGCAGAAGTGGAGCTCTGGAGAGGGCTTAAGTTCCTGCAGAATGTAGATAGCATTTGGGTGCAAGTAGGAACAAGCTGTAGTGCAGCTTACCTCCTGCATACTTTTCACGTTGAGTGAAGGGAACGTGAGAGGTGCTCTGTCTGCTTCCTTGGACAGGTCTGCACTTCATAGCCACAGTACTAAATTTAACACTTTCGAGTTGTGCATCCCTAGTTGTTCCTCTTCTTCCTCTCCCTACCCTTTCTTCAACAAGCAGTAGTGCACAACACTTCCTCTTCTTCCCACCACACCAAGAAACATGACTTTGAATGACTCTCCGTCATTGGGGCATTCTACTTCCACTTAGAAATGCCTTATTGTAAGCCTTTAATGTAACCATTGTTAGTTTCAATGCTTGAAGATGTTTTTTAATTCAAACCCCACATTTTTCCCCCCTCATTTAAATGAGTGTGGTAAATACTCCCAGATTTGTCTGTAGAGTCCCACTCAAAGTATTAATGGCTGTGTGGGGTAGGTGGGACATGAAGTGCTTTCTGGAGGAGATCTTGCTTCCAGTGAGGAGTGAATGCTTAAAACAGGAAGAGAAAACCTGACTTTTCACTGGAACCTGAAGATCCAGACCTCCTAGGGGGAGCATGGTGAGGGAAGATACCACACATTACATGCTTTTCTGCCTTTTAGTGCTGTCCCATAGCATAGCATTTATTTTAAAAAGTGCTAGTTTCATGCTGCGATTTCCCAGATAAGGTGGGAAATGAGGAAATTTCCAGGGCAGTCACTGGAGAGTAAAGGAACCCTCTCTGTGTTCAGTTCAGTGCCCAACGTGAGCTTGACTGAACAGATGCGTTCTACTTCAGTCTATTTCAGGTCAAGTTTCTTTTCAGCTAATCACTGTTTTTTTCTTAAGACTAAGAATGTTAAAATTCATACATGTAGAATTCATTTTTCACCCCAGATTTAGAAAGGAAACCATGCCATTATTTTCTGGCTCAAGGAGATGCTTGTGGATGACTAGACATGGTAAGGGACCCACCTGAGAAAATACTTCAGATAACTGAATAAACTTGCAGCATGTGTTGTTCCAGCAATGCTTTGCTATGTAACAGAGGAAGAATTTTTCATCTTTTTTTTTTGGCTGGCAATTGAAACAAAGTAGAATTTAAATGAAAGATCTTACATGAAACATATAAACTTACATAAGCTTTGTATGGAGAACTGTAAAGGAGCTTCTCATGGAAGATGGAGCTTCTTAAAATGAGAGATAAGCAGTTTAATCCAGTTCTAAAATGGAAAGGCTCATGTTTACCACCAAGAAGATGCAAGTGATGAAGCAGAAAGTGGATGTCAGCTTATTTTTTTGTTTTTAATCACTACAAATGAGCTTTTAGGTAATGTGTTGGGAAAGCTCATCTATTGCCTATTAAATGATAAGCCTGTCTCTTTATTTTCAAGTGCTGTGGTATAGCAACTTAAAATAGGAACTGTGAAGCTATTCCTGATCTATTGGGTCATGTATATGGGCACTGTAGTCCTTAAAATACAAGAATTATGCTATGGAAGGAATATTCTCACTGTTTGCATGTATTTCAATCACTAATATTTGTGTTATTTTAAGGCAGGACTTGTTTGAAGTGAAGTATATGTATCTTGCCTTTTTAGAGCTGAACTTAGCACTTCCATGGCTTAGTATGTGAAAGAAGTTTTGAGGGAGGACAGCTCAGTTTGCTACCTCTGTCACAGGTTCATTGGTTCTGTGATTGTGGAAAATATACTTGAAGAACTTTCACTGATTGTTTGTATATAGGAAAATGCTGGATTTAGGAGGAAAGAAAACCCCTTCCAGCCAAGACACTTTCTCTGTTTTTTTCTGTTTCTCTCGTAAAGGCACATAAAAGTGATTAACTTGTTACGAGAAACGGGAGCACATCTTTCAAGCCAGGACTTGGAGAACATTGGAACAATCTTCTGCAGGTAAGGTGAGGTGGACCTAAAATTGGGGTGGAGTGGGATGGTTTTTCAGAAGAGACTCCAGAACGGAGAACTTTGGAGAAAAGTTGGGTTCTTGGCACATGAGGTGGCTATTTCTGTGTTAGACAAGTAACCAGGAAACAAGTGAAGTGATGAAGTTAATCAACTCTATGCCAAATCTGCTCTGGTGGGAGGTGTCCCTGCCCAGGGCAGGGAGTTGGGGCTGGATAGTCTTTAAGGTCCATTCCAACCCCTTTACGTGCTTTGAAGCTATGACTTGGCAGGAAACCAGGGACTTGGCGTGGACCAACCAGTGCTGTACAGTATCTACAAAACAAGGTCAAGCCAAAGCTTATTTGTGTTCTGTGTAGAGACTGGACTCTGTCCTTTGAGTAATTCTGGACTCAAGAAACACTCTTGAGTGTACATGCTCAGAGGAGACTGGCTAATAAAGCTTTTACCATGAAATTGAAATATGTGCTTCCCAGGGCACTGCAAGTGACAGGGCAGAACTAAACCTTTGTGTAGTTTCCGTCTGCCAGAAGGCAAGAGGAGTGGTTTAGGGAATGAGATTCCTCTGCAAATAAATTGGCCCCTTACTTAGTCCTGGTGCCACATGCAGAACCAGTTTGGCTAGCTGACCTCAGAGTAAAGGGGAAGAGAAGAAGGGTGTTTAAACCGAATGTGGTTCTGATGCAGTTCTTTACAGCTTTTCAGGGCACACTGCACACCTGCATCTGGATTGCACCTTCTCCTGGTGCCTGAGGAGGCAGGAGGGAACCCCAAGGTGTCATTTCACTGTGCTTATTACTTCCCAATCATAACCTGAGACCGGGCAGAGTCAGATGAGATGTGAGGAGAAATGTTTTCCCTATGAGGGTGTTGAGGCACTGGGATATTGCCCAGGGAGGTGGTGCAGTCACCATCCCTGGAAGTGTTTGAGAGACATCTGGATGTGGCACTGAAGGATCTGGTTTAGGGTTTAGGGTTCCAGCAGTGACAGGTTAATGGTTGGACTTGATGATCTTAGAGGTCTCCTCCAACTTTGATGGTTCTATGATTCTCAAATCTAGAACTGCTTTGGCTCTAATAAACCCTCTGAAGCCTGACCAGCTTCACTCCTGGCCCCTCGACAGTAGCAGAGCATCCCTTAAACTGCAGCTTGATGTGATGGGAGGCCCAGAATCAGAGTGTAATTGCACTATCAATATCACTGTTCTTGATATCTTAGCTACATTAGCCATGCTGAAACTGTGAAATGGATGTATAATAATCTTTCCTGAATGTGAGAGTATGGATAGGCAGCGTGGCAGGGACTACCTGCTGTAAAAAAACATTGGTCAGAGTGTAGTGAAATGTGTTAGGTAGTTCTTTATCAACAAAGCAGGTCTTAAACATCCTGCTAAGTGTATATTGAAGTTAAAGTGATGGATGTGCTGCTTGGAGGTTGCACTTGTAGTTGGAATTGCTGGCATAAATATCTTTGAGAGAAATAACAGAGCCATTGTCTCTCTAAGTGCAAATTGAGAAGTCTTCTGTATATATTGAAGTACACTTGCAGTGTGTGAAGGAAATACTGATGTGTATGGCTTGACTATGGAAATTTGGGATTGGAGGGAATGTTTTGTGGCATTCTTGATGATAATCAATTTAGTAAACGTCTTCTGTGGTATCTAAATTTTCTCACAAGCTCCGTCACGTTTTGTTCTCTGGGTCGTAGTCCCCATGGAATACATTTCTCACTTGATCAGTAATTGGCTGCTGCAAAATTGAAGATACTTCTGTGTGTTTGGATTGCTCTAATGCCACAGAAGGAGGCCACTTCCCAGCTCTGACCCCTGGCAGTCTGGGTTAAATTGCTCTTTCTCAACAAGTGCTGTTAGGCAGTTAATTTGCAAGCAAGTGCAGCAAGTCCTTGTTTGCTGCTTGCAGTGATGCTAAGCCCTGGCTATGCAGGTTGCTAATATTTCTGAAAGTGCTGGTCTTTGCCCAAAGTGGAAACCACTTTGCACGTGGCTAAATGATGAGATTCTGTTTGCAAGTCCAGTGCTTTCCTGTGCAGTGCTGAAGATGTTCCTAACTCTCTAGGTAGAGTTTTTGGTTGGCTTTTGTTTGTTCCTTATCTGTGACCTAAGAGTGTCAACAGCAAGAGACTAGTCTTTGTAAACAGAGATCATTCAGGTGTCCCAGAAGTGGCTGCTAAGCCATTTTTTGGTATTATTAATGCTTACGCTTTCTCTTTCTTAATGTTTCCTTTTTTCCTGCAGTTTCCTTACTGACTTCCCACTGAGCTTCCTGTTCAACCTCCTTTGCCTTCCTCTGCTTCCTCATTGCTGCTGAGAGACCTTCTTTTTGTGATGGCAGTTCTCATTAATGATTTATTGGTCTGTTCCTTCCACTACTAAACCTCTTAGTACCCACTGGCACTTCCCTGTCCCCCAAATCCCCAGCTGTAGGTCATCTGTGGAGCTGCATGGACGAACACAGAGAACATTTGCTTTCCCTTTTCTTGCCCAACCTCTGGTTCTGCTGCAAGCAAAAGCCTCTCTGACTTTCTCCTCAGACTGGTGCAATTAGAGGCTTCCACTCCCCTGAAAACATATTTTCAGGTACTTACGAGATGTAATCAGCAACAAAAATTATTTCAGCCTAGCAGAGAAGTGAATGTTGCAGTCCTGCTTTTATGGTTTCTTCCATGCATCTTTAAGCCTTCACTCTCCACTAGGTCTGCCTGGCTTGGTTGTTGTACCTAGGAGCTCATCACTATCCTCCATCCCTGCTGCCAGCACAATGCCTTTCCCCCACAGTGTGCTCTGTCGAAGGCAGCAAGCTCTGAACTTATTAAGGTTGGGGAATCTCTTAATGAGATTCCACCTCACTTGATGATTATCAGCATGATTCTGCTGAAACAATCTGTAAGCACAGAGCAAGCTCAGGTCTGAAGCCTGACAGATGCTGGTAAAGACTGAAGGTCATCCTCCCTGCCTTCCTCTCAGCTCAGCCTGTCCACAGGCTTGGTTACAGGCTGTCATGCTTTTGCATGTGTACAGGCTGTTAGCCCTTTTTCCAAAATGAAAGTGAAAAATGAACCGTAGAATCACAGAATTTTAGGAGTTGGAATGGACCTTAGAGGTCATCCAGCCCCAGCCCCTGCCCTGGGCACGGACACCTCCCACCAGAGCAGGTTGCTCAAGGCTCATCCAGCCTGGCTGTGAACTCTTATGGATGGAATTACCAGCAGATGTGCAAAGAAATAATCTGGTGTACATCTCCCTGAAAACTTGAATTCATTGTATATGATTCATTTTGATCCTTTCTATAGCTTGTTACATATGGCAGATAGAGTTCATCTTTTAAAAGCTTTTCTGTTTGCTCCAAACACATCCCTGTGTTGCTGTCCAAATGATATTTCATAGATATGCAGTCCTAACTTCTGACAGCACACACAGTTGTGCCAGCTTGAGAAGGGTTTCTCTGTGGTTTTATCCTCTGGATTGCTAGCACATCTGCTCCTTCTCTCACTGACTCAGCTGCATCTTGGTTTAGCCATTGCCCTCCCCCCCAACTCATTTCATGAGATAAATATTGTGTTGTGAAATATGAAACTCATGACTTTTTTTCCCCTTTGGTCATAGTCACACCCACTATGTGAAACTAGCCTGTTGTAAGTGCTTATAGCACAGCCCTATTAATTGAAGGAACTGATTCATCAGGCTGTGTTGCTTGCTCAGCTCTTCACAGCTGTTGTAATAAGTGTTCCTTACCCCTCTACCCTGACAGCCATGTTGAGCCTGTTCTGCTTCAGCATTTGCCTGCTGACAGGCAAATTGACAGGGCCCAGGAACTCACTGAGATTGACTGAAAGATTTAGAACCAATATTAATTGTTCTTTTGTTTTTTTCCCAGCCTTGCAGCTAAAGGTGATGTGGATGGGTTATATGCCTGGTACCTAGCTGGTGCAGACCTGGAGCAAGCTGGTTATGATGGCAGGAATCCCTTACAAGTAGTAAGTGTGATCCAGCAGTACTCTTGGTGGTGTGATGGCTGAGTGAGTACTAACACATGCTGTCGGATAATATTAGTTTGGGAAAAGTCAGTGTTGCTTTGTGAGCTATAAAGTGGATTAGAATCTGTTACAAAGTCGAACCTGGTGCTGTTGTGAAGGAATAAGCAGTTGGAGCCAGAATTTTCTCATCTATGTCAAAAGGAATTAAAATGTAAATTGGATTTTAATTATGTTGTGGTAACGTGTTTTTACTTCCCACAAGGAAGTATTTGCATGTCCTAGTGCACAGGATGGCAGGATTTATTCATGTTTCTACTTACAGGCAGAAGCTACAGGGCAGAAGGAGGTTCTTGAGTTCCTTAGACAAAAGCAGTAAAGAAGGTACGATCTCATTCTTGAGTGCTGAAGCTCTGAAATGCACAGATCATATATACATATGAAGAGAGATTTTGTATTTAAGCCCTTGTTCTCCCTGGGACATCTTGGTTCAGCTGCTGTCCCTGTCTTGGTTTCTGATACGATGCTGAGTGCTTTAGAATCACAGAATCTTCAAAGCTGGAAGAGATCATCCAGTCCAACCATTAACCTGTCACTGCTGGAAGCCCCAAACCCTAAACCACATCATCCAGTGTCAGGTCCAGATGCCTCTTAAACACTTCCAGGGTTGGTGACTCCACCACCTCCCTGGGCAATATCCCAGGGCCTCAACACCCTCACAGGGAAAACATTTCTCCTCACATCCAATCTGACTCTGCCCTGGCTCAGCTCAAGGCCATTCCCTCTATCCTCTCCCTGCAGCCCTGGCAGGACACACATCCCACACCTCTCTCCAGCCCTGGCAGGAGTTGCAGAGAGCCATGAGGTCACCCCTGAGCCTCTTCTCCAGGCTGACCAAGCCCAACTCCCTCAGCCCTTGCCCATGTGCTCTAGCCCTTTGCTGCCCTCGTTGCCCTTGGCTGGACTCGCTCCAGTGCCTCAATGGCCTTTGGGCAGTGAGTGCCCAAAGCTGAGCACGGCACTGAGCTGGGACCTCCCCAGTGCCCAGTCTGGGTCCGACTTGCAGCATGAATGTCTTTTGTGCTGCTGCCATCCCAGGTGTGTTTCCCTGGCTGTGAGCACCTCGTGCTCAAAGCATCAGATCTGACAAGTCTCTCTATAGGGAACTTGTTTGGGCATTTGACCTTCTGCAGTGCTGTGCTGCAACTGGAAGCATTTAAAACACTTGCCTTGCATTTCTCAGAGTTCTCTTCTGATGCAATGTGTTGTTGATTTAGATATCTCTTCTACAACATACTGGCAAGTCTAATCCCAATGGAAATATTGGGAGGAGATGATCTCCTTTATTAAAATGAACACAAAGTGTAGCTAAAGGTTTTGCTGCATCAGTGGCTACCTAGCCACGTGTGGTCCCACTTGAAAGGTGTTAGTGGGGAACTGCAGTTGGAACCACAGCATTTTTCATTCACTGTGTACTGGTCTAAATGAACACAGGACACAATCAGGGAGTTTTTGCTTTCCTTTAAAGTTTTGGGTTTTTTTTTGCTTCTGATACAGAAGGATTAGAGATAATCCCAGGCTTGAGCATTTCAGTGGAAGTTTCCCAGTGCTCATGATGACAATGCTAAAAACACCTTCAGAAGATGAGTTGTGTTAAAAAGGGATTTCCACTTTCAATGAGACAGGTCTGCAAAAATCACTC